AATCAATTCTTAATGAATCAAATAATAAAACTGAAGATGTTAATTCAATCGATTTTGATTATGATTTAAATTTTGGTGTCCCAGACAGGGCTGTTGATGCTGAAGTTAATGCTGCTGATAATCAAACACCCGAATCCTCGAAACATACTGATGATTCAACACTAACTTCGGATACTATTGCAAATGGCGAAAGTATGCTATATGCTTGTATGGAGGGGGAGCATACGAATATACCTTCAAGTGTTGAGGGGAGCATCCTTTCGAGGGGGAGAAGAGTAGTATGTATAATAATTTCGAGGGGGAGCATCAAAATGACAATTATGTTGAGGGGGAGCATAATGAAACAGAAACAATTAATCTTGATCAAAATGATGAATTTCATGAATTTAATGATAATATTTCTGTTGCAGGATCTGAAAATGAAGATATCTATGAAGATGCACCATTGGAATTTGATCCAAACATATCCACCACTTGAGAAATGGACGAAAAATCATCCGAAAGAGCAAGTTATAGGAAATCCACAATATGGAGTTTTAACGAGAGCTCAAATTCGTGCGAAAAATGAGGTACTCAATACGAATAAAGAATTATGAATGTTTAATGTTTTTATTTCGAAAATTGAGCCAAAGACAGTTAAGGTTGCTATGGAACACTCAGATTGGGTTGTTGCAATGCAATCTGAACTTGCTGAATTCGAACGAAATAAGGTTTGGAGATTGATTCCAAAACCAAATGATGTTTTGATTGTCGGGTTAAAATGGATTTTCAAAAACAAAACCGACAAAGAAGGTAATATCATTCGAAATAAAGCTAGGCTTGTAGTTAAAGGTTATTCGTAACAAGAAGGTATCGACTATGAAGAAACCTTTGCCCCTGTCGCAAGACTCGAGGCTGCTCGAATATTTTTAGCCTATGCAGCTCATAAGGACTTTGATGTTTATCAAATGGATGTCAAATGTGCATTCTTGAATGGATAGCTTGAAGAAACTGTGTATGTTGAACAACCACAAGGTTTCATTAACGAAGAATTTCCTAATCATGTATACATATTAGATAAGGCTGTTTATGGGTTAAAACAAGCACCAAGAGCATGGTATGCAACACTTACTAATTTCTTAAAACAGTCGAAATTTAAACAAGGATCGGTTGACCCCACATTATTTCGTAAGAAAGTTGGGAATCATCAAATGCTTGTTCAAATTTATGTTGACGATATTATTTTTGGCTCTACTGACCCAACTTTGTCTAGTGAATTTGAGAATTTGATGAAGAGTCAATTCGAAATGAGCATGATGGGTAAAATCAACAATTTTCTTGGGTTAAACATTCGTCAAAGCAGAGAAGGAATTTTTATTAACCAAGAAAAATACACGAAGAACTTGCTTGAGAAGTTTGGAATGACGAATAGCACGAAGCTAAGAGTGCCAATGGCAGTTGGAACGAAATTAACACCTTCGTTAGATACACCTGCTGTTGATCTTACTTTGTTCAGAAGCATGATAGGTTCTTTACTATATTTAACTAGCAAGTAGACCTGATATCATGTTTTCTGTATGTAATTGTGCTAGGTATCAAGCGAATCCAAGAGAACCACATTTAACAGCTGTGAAAAATATCTTTCGTTATCTCAAAGGAACAATTTCGTTAGGATTGTGGTATCCTTTGAAATCTGGAATTTTCATTCAAGCCTTTTCAGATTCAGATCTTGGTGGATGTACTCTTGATAGAAAAAGTACAAGTGGAGGATGTCAATTACTGGATGAGAAGCTTTTCAGTTGGCAATTGAAAAAGAAAACATGTGTTGCAATTTCCACTGTTGAAGCGAAATACATTTCTGCTGCTGCTTGCACTTCTCAAATCATCTGGATTCAAAGCCAGTTGCGTGATTATGCAATTAATATGAAAAAGATTCCATTGTATTGTGATTCATAAAGTGCTATACGCATTTGTCATAATCCAGCACAACATTCGAAAATGAAACATATTGCTCTTCGTTATCATTTCATAAAAGATCACGTTGAAGATGGAAATATTGAAGTTCATTTTGTGAAAACAACTGATCAACTTGCTGATATTTTCACAAAACCTCTTGATGAAAAATCTTTTATGAGAATTTTGGCAGGTTTGGGAATGTGAGATGCGAATTTGTACCAGGATCAATCATATAAAATTCACTAAATTCCCATTGGTAAAAAGGGTGTCGATTTAGAGGCAAAATGATTCATTCATAGGCTGATCGTATTAACTATTCAGAGGTTATTGTTCACATTCAGCGCTTCGACACGCTTCGTTTTCGTATATTGAAGCTGAAAATTTTCGTGTGTTTGGTATCATCTTTAAATTTCGTTAGTTTGTCTTTTATTCTTTGAAGAACTGAAAAACCAAAACTATTTTCATTTCTTTGTAATCATTTTCGAAAATTCAAAAATTCCAAAAAGATTTTCTTTTGTTGCATGTTTTATTTTTCGAAAAATTCAAAATCACAAAAATATTTTTCTTTCTTTTCAAAAATATAAAATCCAAAAAGATTTTTGTTACTTTGTTATTATTTTTGTTTTAGGTATCAAGGATATTTACACGAAGAATTTTTCAAGGGTCATGCCTATGTTTCTTAGGGAAGGTATTGTTCTTCAAATTATGCACTAGTTAAGATGTCCCTAGAAGCATGCTGCTGCATGTCGACCCAAGCCTCCAAAGACTCAATGTGTGTTTACGAAAGCCTTAATGAAATTTTTCATACGAAAGTTTCTTCCCAATCAGGCTTATATTCGCATTAGTCACTGAGCTACCTTACTCTTCTCAAATAAGTTAAGAGTTTACTGTTTGGTCCAAGTCTAACAGAGGTACATTAGAATCTTTAACAATCTTTTTCATCACAAAATTCTTAACACTTTTCACACACAAAGACACATGTTCGAGAGGTCATTGATCAAAATAATCATGACTTAAACATGTCAAAAATCTGTGTTAATGATCTTAATTCATGAGACCGTGATGCAAGTGAAACCCAAATATACGAAATTATCAAAGAATTGACGGGGAACTTTGTTCCAGATTTTTACGAAACACTTGTTTCTGTACCAAAATTTCGTATACACCAAATCACATTCTTTCGTATGAGTGGTCTTGATCAAATATTCAAAGCCCACAACATTTGTTTCCCAACAAGATCTTGCTTAAATACTTTTCTTTGGATGTGATTTCAGTGTGAGTATCAATTATTTTCTTTAGTCACTTTTACATAATTTTCCAAAGCAACTTGTCACTGACTACACTGGTCAAACAAGTAATTTCGGTTACAATTACTCACCTTATGTTTAGGATGATATGTAACGAAATTCGTATGTCACCCTTTGAAGCCTTGAAAAAGAATCCCTTTGATACTTCTCTATAAGTATTCGATTGTAATTCACGGGAACATACACAAGCTATTGATTATCTCTCTTGATAATTAATGAAGCAACCTTTGCCCGGGGTTTAACTGACTTCGTGTCTAAATTTTGGACATCACAGAACCCAATTTTTTGTTAATTTGCTTCTTATCTTTTTCCTTGGCACACTGCACTCACGAAATCCTTGAGGTTCTAAGTAATACCAACTTAGGCTGAAGATTTCACAAGACTGGCAAATGACTTCGTTTTGAATCCCAAAAACGAAAGAGCCTAGCCTCCAATCCGAAGGGTTCGATCTTATCCACTTTGTACTCACGAACAGTCTAAAGTTACCGTTTGGCAACTTGGCCCTAGTTTCATGGTACTTTATGAGACGTGATGGGATAAACGGCTACTGGTGCGAGTTTCAAGGAATGACATGGCCTACTCTTTAATGATAAACGGTTCACATTATTTTGGGCTTACCTATAAAAGGAAAATCCTTTTCCTTTGATCATTACGCGATCAAAAATTCTCAGACGACCAAAAAGCCCTAATTTTTCAAAAGCTTTCAAGAACTCACAAATGACTGCTATTCAGAACTCCACCACTGAAGAGGTTGAATCTCAACCTTTGATGAAAATTCAAAGCACCAATTACCAAGTTGAGGCCAATGTTTCACTGTATCCTGAGGAATTGAAGATGCTAATCGTTGCCTTGAAACGATCTGGATTAGCAACTGTAATGTTCAACTCATTCGCAGTCCCGATGACATGGTTGTCAATGGCTGCCTCAACTGCTTCTTATAACAAGGCAACAGATGTCATTACCTTCAATCTGATAAATGAGAAGAGAGTTCGCTTGACGATGAAGATGTTCACTTAGTATCTGGAAATTCCTAACTCTCCACCATTCTTTAAGGCTACGAATCCACAAATCATGCACATGTTCAACGAGATGGGTCACCAGCCCCCACTCGAGAAGATTAGTGATTTCAAGAAATCAGGACTTCCTTGTATGTGGAACTTCTTCTTTGGAATTTACCTCAAATGCTTGACGGGAAGAAGTGTAGGACTTGACAAGAGCAGACTGGAAGTTTATGCAATGGTAATGGGTCTTTACTATGATTTGAGTGTTGATTATGCCACTAAGTTATGGAAAGAGTTTGTCAAAAGCCTGGAGAACACGAATATGGTAAAGGGGATTTTGTGTGCAAGGTACTGGAGCCTTGTTCTTCAGAAGGTATATGAAAAAGAGGGAATCCAAGTCCCTGCTGATGAAATTACTGCTGAATTTGCAAAGTATCAGTTTCCGAAAGTTGTGGAGGATGATGCGAATATTTTTCCAAGTGTAGCACGAATTCCAGATGCTATGCTAAAGAAGGTGAATCCTACTCACAAGGTTCTTGTGAAGTATTTGAAGACTATTAATCCCGATGTGGAAACAGGGGTTTTGCTTACAGTCGAAGCTGGAACTTCTAAACATTCCAAGAGGTCTAAGGTTGATGAAGCAGAGGTACCAATTACAAATACGAAAAAGTCTACATCCAAGTCTCCTAAGAACAAGCCTGAAAGTGATACGAAGAGGGCAGAATAGGTTGTTGTTGTTAAGCCTTCGAAGGAGGTGATGCCATTAAAGTCGGGAGTATTGCAAAGGTTACGAAGACTGTCACACAAATGCACTTTTTCTGATGACTCACAGACAGTTCGTAAAGTTCAAGTCAGTAGCAAAGGGGTCATTGTTCGTGAGATCCCTACTCCTGCTTCTCCATCATCTAAGAAAAGAAGAGCTCAAGATGTAATCAATCATATCTCAAAGAAGCAGTACAAACGCAAAATCGTTCTTCGTGATGATTCGTCCAAAAACGAAGTGGTCCCTGATACACCACCAGTTTCGTCTACTCCCATGGTAACTTCAGTTCCTATTATTTCATCAGTTACTCTTATTATTCCTATTGCACCTTCAACAACTATTCCACTCGAAATAGTGGTGACCAAGTCAATTTCTGAATAAGTCCCTATTACAAACATCTCTGCTAACGTATCTGATACGAGAGCAAATGTTTCAGTGAGTGTCGACGTTTCGCAACCTATTTCTCTTTCTACTTCATTACCAATAATTTCATCATCATCCTTAGTTTCGTTACCACCATTTGTTCTTCTTATATCCACTGTCACCACATCACCAATCTTTGACAATATCCTTAAACAACCTATCACAACCCTATTTTCATCATAATCCACTGAACCACAAAAGCCTCATTCCGATGATGAAACAGGAGGAGGTTTTGGAGGAACATTTGAAGATTTACACTTCGATTCAGAGGAAGAAGATATTCCTGATCATATGATTATGTCAGGAAAACAATTTAAAGTTCTCAATAGAAAGCTTAATTCTATTCTTCAATTTCAAGCAGAGTCAGGTTCAAAGCATTCTGTATCAGGAATAGAAGTTGATGTGATGCTAAAAGCTGTGGAGCATCGTCTGCAACATCAACTTGATGTAAATGACAAAAATAATGAACTTCGAATCAAAGCTCAGGGTGATCTGTATAACTCTTCGTTAAAGGAGCTTCGGAATGTTCAAAAGAGAGGCATGTTCTCTTCGTACAAGATGTGAAGAAGGTACGAGAGGATGTGAATCTCAAATTTGAAGAATTGAAGAAGGAGTTTCGAGTGAAATTCTTCAAGTGAATGATCGTTACAAGTCGATTCAGGAGAAAGTTGATATCATAGTTGGGGCTGTAACTAATTTCATACTATCATTCCAAGCAACTGTACCAACGTTCGAAGCCAAGGCAACTGAAGATAAAAATAAGTTTGTGAAACTGAATGCCCTACTTGCAGAGTTAAAAGAAGTTGTCTCTAAGCCCACTCCAACTTCATTCTTAACTCCTGAGTTTCTTACTCAGAAGTTAAACATTCTTGATCAAGTCATACAAAAGGTTGTTGCTCCTATCACAAAGTTTGCTCAGATGTTGCCACAGAATGCCCCACCTGCTGTCACAGGGGTGCAAGGGGGAGAAAGGAGGGTGAGCAAATGGTCGAAGAATGATAATAAGGGAGAAGGCATTAGAAAAACAAATGAAGATGCAAAGGTTGTAGGGAAGGTTCTGACTTCGCAAATTTCGACTTCATTTCCTACCAAAACTGATCCTATTACAACAACAATTGTGACTACAAAACCACTTGCTAGACCTATTATCAAAGGAATTGTAATTGGTTCATCAACTGAAGGGGGAAGCTCAAGTTCTTCAAAACCGAATCCTATTTTAAAAGATAAAGGGAAAGGTGTTGTAGTCGAAAAGTCTAAAGAAGAAAAGAAAGCAGAAGTCGAAGCTGAGATAGAACTTCAGAGGCATATTCAAAGTATCATGAGGCTGAGGGAAAGTGATCCTCCAGGCATGGAGAAAGGAGATCCGAAGAAACTCTACAGTTACGAATCTATAGAGTCAAGGGTTGCATTCAACCACATGTATGCCTTTGAAAAGAAGCCGAAGAAAAGTTATTCCATAGCCAACACAGACATGAATTAGCTTGATTTCCCTATTAACGAAATGATGTTCATTACAGCTTAGTACAAGATAATTGAGAAGTTTGAAAATGCTGATGACTATACACACATGAAAATTCATTTTCATGCTGTACTTGGAAAAGAACCCGAAGATGTATGGTCTCTTATCAAAATTAAGAAGGTTGTTGCACTAAAGAAATATGTGTTGTTCGAAAACATGATACAAAACTTTAGGTATCATGTTGTTCGTGCGAATAATCTACAAGTCGACTTCAGTGTAGCAGATTTCCCACTAATGAACTTGAATGATCTGATTCAAGTTGCATTAATCTTGAAGGATATGGAAGCATCACAACTCAAGGGTACAGACAAAGAAGTGTTCAGACTTGGTCTTGCTCACATTAAAATTTTCATTGACAATTACTATGATTGTCTGGCCCTGACGGACGAAGAGTTGGCTTCGGGTATGGAAAGGAAAATAACAGCTGCTATGTTACCTTCAAAGCCACAACCTGAACTGAAGAAGTATGCAGATGGTGAGATTTGCTTAAAACCTTTTGGCATGGTGTTTACGGGAAAAGATACAAAGGGGAAAGCCAAAAGATTCTTATTCCAAGTTGCTGAGATAGAAAGATACACAACTTCACAATATACGAACTTCATTGTTCGTATGAATAATAGTACGAATAGTAATGAAGGCGACAATAACTAGTTGAAGAAAGTGTTAACTTGGTATTCGGAAATCAGAAGGATGATGCACTTCGCTGCTTAGATTCTCACGAATTGAGTAGTTCGACTCGTTTACAAAGGGGGAGATTGTTAGGGTCGAAGTCTTGTTGTAAAGAGTCTAAGTGTATTTACTATATTTCGTATGTAATGTATTTACTAAGTCATTTCATGTTCGAAGCATAACTCCTAGACTTAGTATTTTTTGTACTCTCAGTTTCCTATAAATAGGAACTGAACATAGAGTTAGATAACAAGTTTTTTCCTGTATGTTGTCTACTTTTGTACTCTTGTTCATTTAAGAGTAATATGAGTTGAAACCAGATTCTATTTACATTCTGTGTTCTTGATTGATCTTTAGTTTGTTTAACTCTGATTTCATTCGATTTCTCGTTACAATTCCTCTTCAAGAAGCTCTACGCGAAGTTCTCTAAATGCGAGTTTTGGATTCGAAGAGTCGAATTCTTGGGTCACGTGGTTAGCGAAGAAGGAATTCATGTGGAACCTTCCAAAATAAAGGCCATTGAGAACTGGTCAGCACCGAAGACGCCTACAGAAATTCGTCAATTTCTAGGCCTCTCTGGCTACTATCGTAGGTTCATTCAGAACTTCTCTAGGATCGTGAAACCGCTCACTACATTGACCCAGAAAGGCGTGGCCTTTGACTGGGAAGAGAAACAAGAGAAGGCGTTCCAAACGCTAAAGCGAGCTTTATGCAGCGCACCGATACTATCCCTCCCAGAAGGGATAGAAGACTTCATGGTTTATTGCGATGCATCAAACCAAGGACTCGGTTGTGTTCTTATGCAACGAGGTAAGGTTACCGCCTATGCCTCAAGACAGCTAAAGACACACGAGGTCAACTACACCACACATGATCTTGAGTTAGGAGCAGTTGTATTTGCTTTGAAGATCTGGAGACCCGACCTGTATGGAACCAAAAACACTCTCTTTACAGACCACAAAAGCCTTCAACATATATTCGTCCAGAAGGAGCTCAATATGAGACAACGATGGTGGGCCGAGCTACTCAATGACTACGAATGCGAAATTCGTTATCATCCCAGTAAAGCCAACGTAGTAGCTGACTCCCTAAGTCGGAAAGAATACTCTGGTCGTAGAGTCAAATCATTGACTATGACTATCCATTCACATCTGTCCACACGAATTAAGGAGGCTCAACTTGAAGCGTTGAAACCTGAAAATGTGGCGGGTGAATCCCTGAGAGGGATGGATAAGAACTTGGAAGTCAAGGGTGGCGGGGCCTTATATCTCATGGATCGGATCTGGACACCGAGACACGGTGGTTTTAGAGACTTGGTCATGACCGAAGTGCACAACACTAGATATTTCATCCACCCAGGTTCATATAAGATGTATCTGGATCTTAAAAAGCTATACTGGTGACCTAACATGAAAGCAGAGATTGCTACCTTCGTGAGTAAATGCCTTACTTGTGCCAAGGTTAAGGTCGAATACCAAAAACCATCAGGTTTACTTCAACAACCAGAGATACCTGAATGGAAGTGGGAGCGGATCACTATGGATTTCATAACTAAGTTGCCCAAGACAACAGGTGGTCTCGATACCATATGGGTGATCGTAGACAGGTTAACCAAGTCCTCACACTTCCTGCCTATCAAAGAGACTGACAAGATGGAGAAACTAAGTAGAACGTACATTAGGGAGATCGTACGACTGCATGGTGTTCCCATATCCATTATCTCTGATAGAGATAGTAGATTCACTTCAAGGTTCTGGCAGTTGCTACAAAGTTCCCTAGGAACTAGGTTGGACATGAGTACAGCCTACCACCCACAAAACGATGGACAAAGTGAGAGGACTATTCAAACTCTGCAAGATATGTTGTGAGCCTGTGTGATGGACTTTGGAAAAGCATGGGATATTCATCTACCCCTTATCGAGTTCTCCTATAATAATAGTTATCACACGAGCATAAAGGCTGTTCCATTTGAAGCCCTCTATGGCCGGAAGTGCATATCCCCTCTGTGCTGGGCTAAAGTGGGTGACACACAGTTAGCTAAAGGACGCGTTCCTGACAACACTCTTACAGGTCCAGAAATCATTCAGGAAACGACAGAGAAGATCGTTCAGATTCGTAAACGATTGAAAGCCTCTAGAGTCCGACAGAAAAGCTATGCAGACAAGAGAAGGAAACCTTTGGAATTCCAGGTTGGCGACCGCGTTCTATTGAAGGTCTCACCCTAGGAGGGCTTGATACGCTTTGGAAAGCGTGGAAAGCTAAATCCAAGATATGTAGGGCCTTTCGAGATTCTCGCTAGAATCGGCCCTGTAGCTTACAAACTCAAGCTACCTCGCGAACTTAGTAACATACATTCTACTTTCCACGTCTCTAACTTGAAAAAGTGTCTGTCCGACGAGACTCTTGTAATCCTACTCGACGAGATTGAGATCAACGAGAGCCTCAACTTCGTGGAAGAACCAGTAGAGATCATGGACCGAGAGGTCAAGCAAACGAAGCAAAGCCGTATCCTGATAGTGAAGGTTTGCTGGAATGCCAAGCGAGGACCTAAACTCACTTGGGAGCGCGAGGATCAAATGAAACTGAAATATCCTCATCTTTTCACTTAGTTATTTATAATAGCTTAATTGTTTAAACTCTAATTTCGGGACGAAATTCTCTCTAACGGGGGGATGATGTGACAACCCGAAATTTCTATCTTGTACGACCGTTCAATTCAATCAAAGTCAGAATCGTTTCTGCTATCTGTTAGCATTGTTTAGGGTCTGTT